CTAGTAGCGTCCTTGCTCCTAGTAGTACGGCCAGGAGCCCCTAGTAGCGTCCTTTGCTCCTAGTAGTAAGGCCAGGAGCCCCTACTACCGTCCGGAGCACCCTGTAGCGTCCTTGGTGCCAAATCAAACATGAATGGCGACTTGAAACATGGCCCTGCAGGCATGTCCAATGAGCAGATCGATGCCTGGCTCATTGAGGAGTGAATTCTCAGATCGTCGTGACTTATATAGCATGACTTAGAAGTTTTCCAAGGCTATTTTGTAACAGAATCTGAAGGAGGCAGCCTGGTTGTCAGAAGGTCAAGTCCAACGCATCAAGGAGGGCGACCATCAGCAGTTGCTGGATGGTGCCTTGTAGCTGCAAGTTGAGGTGTGACGGAAGTTGGTTCTGATAAGTTGGAGAATTGTCGGAAGGAATGCCTTGCCATTCTTAGGCGCCGATACCATCGATGGTGAAAAGACCAGGGCCGCACTGCGAATGCGGAGCGGTGGTCGTGCTGCGACGTTTCTAGTGTCAAACCAGTACAGCTACTTGACTGCACTGGTTTTTTTGGTCCATGAAGTGGGCCTGATGGTAAAGGTCTCAAGTGTCCCAAAAACCACTACAGCCCATGGTTGTTGGCTGATGCCATTGATTCTCATCAACTTTCGGCATGGTCCACTTGAAGTGTCAGGTATCGATGAAGATGGAAACTTCCAGGCAGTCCTTGAGACGGAAGGACCTTACATAGCGCCATTTTTGTGGTGTTCTGAGCAAGGCCTTCATGTTAGATGTGAAGGGTTTGGGCAAGGCACTTAGGCACAATCTACTCTAGGCATCTGAAACACATTTTGCCAAGAAAGCCATGCCCAAGGCACTCACAAAAGAGCAGCTATCTCCGAAAAGGTCACGGGCCTGTTGGGGCTCGCAGATGCTTTGAGGCTCCGCTCTCAAAAAACCTCGCTGAAGCCATCTCTGAAGAGCCTCGTTTTCATCCAACCGCTAAACCACTGTCGTCTCCGTCGTCACTGTCAAGAGCATGGCTACTAGCTACTAGTAATGCCCTTGTTACTAGTAGCGATGCGCTTGTTACTAATAGCTTCTTGTTACTAGTAGCGATGCCTGCTGCCGCTTTCAGGGAGCTGTGCTTTCAGCGCCTCATCCAGCGACTCTTCGATTTGGAGGGCGGGGAGGCGACTCGTCGACTGAACACGGAGGGTGAAACACCGCGAAAAATATGTTGCACTTCATTTGGAATGGCCAGGCGATGGGGACAGTGCCATATTATGCGATCATTGATACAGGCTTGACCTACAGTGGAATCAACCCTGCAACTGGATGGACTGGTGAGCGCTGTGTGCTTCTAGCGGCTCGCCCAGCGGAGCTTGCATAGCCACACCTAGCCACTCTGCCCAGAGCTCACTACAGGTGAGACAGAGACAATCTCGTCTCTTTGACTCCTATGATGGCATGAACTTCTCTGGCTTCATCCTTGGATGGATCTCTCCTGAGATCGAGTTTTTGCGGTGTGGCGCTGGCATTTCGACCACTGAGGCGTTTGCCCAGATCCAGTTCATGCAAATGGTCCTGGCAGACGGATGCGGCAAATGCTTCACAGTTCCGATGCTCAGCGCGGGTGGTCGTTCCGTATCTCTTCGCTTCGTCTCAGCCGAAGCTCGCAAGGTTGGGGAGTCTCTGCAGAATTTGAGCCACGAGCACTCTGGCATGAGGACGTGGAGACGATGCTTGAGGATCAAACGGGAATTTGGAATCTTCAAGCTCTCAAGCTGCAAGATCCGTTTCTTTCTTTCTATATATTTAAGGAAGCCTCTTGAGAGTGCGAGAGCTGCCTTAGCATGCAGCACGATGCATCTCAGAGCATCTACTGTGTAAAACTGCGTTTACCCTGCCTAGGTGGATGCAACTTGTACACACTTCATGGACTTCTCCGATTATTATGTACTGCCTGAATCACCCTTGCCGGCAGCCTGGTGTATGTCCGAGGATGCCCTTCGGCGTAGCCCAGCTGCGCAGTATTGGCTTTTGTCCTTGGTTTGCCTTCCTGTTGCCTGTTTGGATTCCCGTTTCGTGTTGTGCCTGGCCACACTGCGCGAAAAAGACTCCTTATGCGCCCTCCCAAGGTGCATTCACTCTGGAGCGAACACCGACAGTGGAACGGCTTCTTGGCGAGAGGAAGCGGAACGACACAGACTTTTGCCAGCCTTCAACCTAATAGCAATGGCCTCCGACCTAGAAGCGATGGATAGCGATGGCCTTCAACCTAAGAGCCATGGTTGCCACTTTTGCCAAGTCACCACGATGTCCATTTTGCCACTTCCACTTCAGGGCACTGGCTATGCCGACATTGTCAGCTCGTTTGTGGGGTGGAGTCCCTCAGTTTTGTGGATTCGGTGTAGGATCGCATGAGACTGTAGGATCCCTCCTTTTCCAAGACTTAGGTCATGAAGATAAGGAAAAGGCACGTGAAGCCTACGACACGCTGAGAAAGCAGCTATCGCAGGAGAAGGACTGTCAGTGAGGCTGAGGAAGATGTATTTGGTGAACTCAGCTCGTTCTCGAACAGTTGTACCTTACCTGGGTCTAGCAGGGTTTCGGCTCGAATGTTCATGATGCCTTCCTTTCGTTCTGGTATTGAACCTCTTCCCAGGCCTGTGATGATGCCTGAGATTGCCCAACTGTGACATTGATGCTTGAATTTTGTAGGTGAGAACCCATGGCCTGGGCTGCGCTGCAGTTACTTTTGCAGCTCCCATGTATTTGGGCAACCGTTCAACGCTCGCAGGGACAGCTCCGAAGGCGGTCTCTTTGGCTGTAGCTGTAGCTGCAGTTGGGGGGAACTGATCCAAGCTGCTCGGTTTGCCAACTGGGATTTTGGGAGGACCAACTTGGATCTGGGAACTCCTCACAATGCAGAATGGTTTCAAGCCCTCAGCACTCATCCAGCACGGACCTCAGTTCGCTGCGAGTTTGCCTGTGTTGGCGTTTTTGGCTCTCCTTTTTTCGCCAAAGAAAGCGATTTCAAGACAAAGCGCCGGAGTCTTTGAAAGCTCGAGCGACTCGAGCAGGTGGATGAGGAGATGTTGCCACCACGGGCCCCTCAGCAGATCTTTTTGAAGCCGAGCAACGCGGTGAAGATCCCAAAGGACTAATGTTTGACATGCTGTTTTTGACGTGCTGTTGTTCTTTCGAAGGGTTTCTCATGGTCTGTATTGTTCATGTGTTCATGTATTGTTCATGTGCTCTCGTCTTATCTTTTTTTGTTTCTTTTTCTCTTCTGTTCTTTCCAGTGTCGTTTGTTGTGAATCTGAAGGAGTCGTTGGAGCAAGACAAGAGAGAGCACCGCCATGGCCCCAAAGGCACAAAAAACTTCTTGGCGAACAATTCCAATTCTCCGTCCACCCCGTCTTCCCCCGGGCCCGTTCGGCGTGAAGTAGAAGGAAACTTGACCTGTGAACAGCCCGGCTGCGCGGCCGACGTAATGCTGCATATCTACAATCCTCAAGAGGACTGTCCACTGACTGGTCTCATGATGACCCATTAGGCACTTGAAGTTGATTGAGATGTAAGTTGATGTAAGAGAAGGTGTGCACCTCATTTCCTCATGGCCCAAATGGCCTTTCCAGGAATATGTTCGAGACTGCAACTTGAGCTTGGCGGTTCATGCCACCGATTTCGATGACAACTTTGAGGGCGAACGAGTGATGAACTTCATGGGGAACGGCCGAGCGTTAGGACATGATTGTTATCCTGCAGTGAATGGCTGTGTTTCTCCGGAATCCAGCGAACTCCTGTACTCCTGCATCTACAAGGAACCAGTGAGCACCATTCTGAACGAAGACGGGAAACTCAAAGTGAGTGCACAAATTCCACGCAATGTGGATGAATGCCCCTTTCATGGGAATTTGTTGCACGGTGTGACGTCAGTGGCTTGCTATGTTGGCTTGCTGGCGGACCTTACCACTCCTACTTCGACAGGAACAACGACTACAACAACCACTCATTGGCTGTCTGCAGACTCCCTCGAGAAGTATCCAGACTTTGTCCGGAAATGGCTGGCGGAACACCCTGGTCAGAGCATCAAGGACATGCCAGGTTATGACTCCATCTACAACATGAGTTCGCTCAATCACAAGGCAGAACCAGTAGGTTTTGCACCTCTGCCCTTCAGGCATAATGGCTCGAATGGCTTCAATGGCTTGAATGGCTTGAATGGTGGTGAGGAGGAGGAGCTTGGGGGGGGTACTCCCAGCAGCTTTGGTCACAACGGGAGCCTTACGCTGTGCCGAGAAAGGCTGCAAGAGCAATCTGGTTCTTGACTTCAACCGGACCCTGGTGTCCCTTGACAGGTGCCATGCCATGTGGGAGTTCTTCTATCTTTTTTTTTCCACAGATTTTTCCAAGCTGCATAGCATTGCATAGCTGCATAACTCTTCGAAGTTGCTTTACTTTTGATCAGGTGCTTGCTGCAACTCTGGCTAAACCAGACGGATTTCGACAACAAAGATGGAGCCGTTGAGTTTGTCACGATTAAAGTGGGTGGGCATGAGGCAGCGGGTTGAGCCAGCCTGGGGAAGTCTTGCAAGGCATTTGGTGTGTTCGGTGTGTTTGGTGTTGAAGAACTGGGAAAAGCCCTACCCATCCTGGCCCATCCTTCTTCTTTTTTGTTTCTGCTGCCAACAAGAGCGATGCGTTTATACAAGAGCATTTTCAGGGTGGCCGAAGAACATACGTAATAAACATAATCCTGTTCAGTGCGTGCTGTAGAGGTGCTCGACAAGGCAAAGCCTGGCAAGAATCCTTGTCGAAGTGCCTATGATGGACACCCTTTGAAGAAAGAGGAGTGATTCGAACCGTGCCCAACACGTTCTTCTGGATTTGAACTTATTTGTCACTGCACCCGAAATGATAGGAGATCCGACTTCATGCAGTGAAGGACTTTGACATTACAGAGGCAGCCTAGTCAAGGATCTGTGTTTTGCAATACACCAAATTTCCACGACTTTTTAATTTGAAAATGAAATGAAAACGCTGTTGCCACTCTGCAGATTTTGAAGATTGGAGAGGCCCTCCGCCTTGGGCCTGTTGACATCTCCGGGGAGATTTCCAAGCAGGTGGACGAGTGCCCCAGCAACGGCTATTTGCTCGACTCCAGTATCGAGGCACTGTGACAGGATGCTAAAGGCTATAAACTGGACAAAGTTTGCAAGTGGTTTCTTCCTTCTACTGCAGCGCTTTCTTCTTTATTTAGCACTGAGCCATACTAATTCACGCCAGGTGAATTGCCGCTACTCGACCATTGGAGCACTCCTGGAGCGAGACCAGGTCTCTGTTGCCGATGTGATGACCCTCAACAAGGCAGGACCCACTAGGAACAAGTGCATCGCTACTAGTAACAAGTGCCTTACTACTAGTAACAAGAAGCTATTAGAGACCCTAGCACTCAGCACCGAAAGGGTGGAGCTGAATCGGTTGGTTCCATCGACCTTTTCTCTAGTAGCAAACCTTGCAACTAGTAGCGATGCACTTGTTCCTAGTAGCGTCCTTGTTACTACTAGTAAGGCACTTGTTACTAGAAGCGATGCACTTGTTTATGCTGGAAATGTGCTTGTGGAGGCTCTGCTGGATTCCGACATTCGTGAGCAGGATGAGACATTTAAGGATTTCCTCAAGGTTGCAAATTCAAGCGATTCGTCAGGAACCGACGAATCAAAGTTGTCAAAGTGACCACAATCGGTGTGAAGAAGCTGGCGCAAAAAGCTTGGTCGACCCTGCGGAGCGGAACATTTGTGCATCAAATGCCTTCGATTGGGGTCAATGAGTATATACTATTATACAATATTTGTGTTTGGACCCCTTCTGTACCATTTTGGCAACCATAGCTTGCCCTGGCACCATCTCAAAACAGAAAATCATCCCATTCACCCAACAAGTTGAGATGTGCTGAAGTCGAGGAGCTTCGGGATGCAGCTTCAGTGGTGGAAGAAGGCTTGATCCAGCCCATGAAGCCCAAGTACTGTATGTGTTCGGGACTTAGAGGGGAGCGGAACTTACCTCAAGTATAGGAAGAGGTGCCTGTGTGCGCTTTGGAGCCTGGGTGCCGCTGCAGGGTCCGCTAGACTGCTGTTCCGGACGTGTATGGCCGTGTGCGCTGCGTGCTGGTGCCGCTGCAGGGTTTCCTCGAGGGTGTTTGCCATGGCCGTGTGCTTTGGAGCTTGGGTTGGTGTTGCTGGTGTTTGTGCTGGCGTAATTTGTGCAAGAAGCTACTAGTAGCTCCTGGCATTACTATTAGTAGCAAGAAGGTATACGGTTTTGCAACACACCGTCCAAGGCTGGTTCATGGAGCTCGATGACAGTCCAATGAGCCGCTGGTGCCTGGAGACAGCTCGAGAGGTGACCACCGGGAAGTGTTTCACAGACATCTTGGCGACCGTGGAAGATTGGCTGCCCAAAAGAGTGTGGATCAAGACGTGCGGATCAAGGACAAGAGCTCTTTCCTTTCAATGCGCAGTGAATGAATATGTATGTATACATATATCATATATATACACATTATATTCCGAGATCCAAGATACCTTTCTTGATGTAAGAAGAAGACGGCAGACCCTAGGCTCGTTTTCTGGCCAAGCTCCACCATCGGCGCTTCGAGCGGATGAAAGCCGCACATCCCTGGGAACGAGCTGCGCAGATGGTGCGGAGTTGGCTTGGAATTGTACGTTGAATTCAAAAGATGTTGAGCGAGCGATTTGGAGAGATTGCTTTGCCTCCAAATTGAGTCTCGCCAGACCGATGTGGTTGTAAGCAGCGGACTTGCATTTGGCATTGGCATCTACTCTGGCATAGTGGAGGCAGGACTGGTTCTTGCCTTCAATGACATGCCCCCTCACCGCATTCTTAAATGTCCAATTGCCAGGTGCTTGAGTTTTCTGCTTGCAACAAGGCACCTTTGGGGGGCAAGGCTGTTGCACAAAGAGCTCCAAAGCAGAGTTCCGCTGAGAGTAGACACCGACAACCTTTGACAAGGCTGTTCGCCGCCCAATGAGGGAGGTGTCGGATACTCAGTAGAGTCAGTCATTTTACCATTAGATCTAGTTGATGCAGAGTTGCTCTGCTATGTTTCAGGTTGCCCCTGCTTCGATCTGTATATCCTGGGCATGTGTACGTGCACGGCGGTTACGCTTGAGGCCAAGATTGAAACGGGCAGAGCAACCAGCGCTTGGACACTATCGGTCGTTGTTGGATCCAAGCGCACTAAGGACGGCCAGCGCCGTTTGAAGTCTATTGAGCGCTTGGCTTCGCTCTCAGTTTTGGCACATCTTGACAGGGCCGCCAAGAGGTAGGACACTAGGAGAGCAGTGTTGATAAGCTTCATTCAAGACGATCCATGCCGGACGCTACTAGGAGCAAAGGGCATCGCTACTAGGAGCAAAGGGCATCGCTACTAGGAGCAAGGATGCACTAGGGGCTCCTGGCCTTACTACTAGGAGCAAAGGGCATCGCTACTAGGAGCAAGGATGCTACTAGGAGCAAAGGGCATCGCTACTAGGAGCAAGGATGCTACTAGGGGCTCCTGGCGTTACTACTAGGAGCAAAGGGCATCGCTACTAGGAGCAAGGACGCTACTAGGAGCAAAGGGCATCGCTACTGGGAGCAAGGATGCTACTAGGAGCAAAGGGCATCGCTACTAGGAGCAAGGATGCTACTAGGGGCTCCTGGCCTTACTACTTGGAGCAAAGGGCATCGCTACTAGGAGCAAGGATGCTACTAGGAGCAAAGGGCATCGCTACTAGGAGCAAGGTTGCTACTAGGGGCTCCCGGCCTTACTACTAGGAGCAAAGGGCATCGCTACTTGGAGCAAGGATGCTACTAGGAGCAAAGGGCATCGCTACTAGGAGCAAGGATGCTACTAGGGGCTCCTGGCCTTACTACTAGGAGGAAAGGGCATCGCTACTAGGAACAAGGACACTACTAGGAGCAAATGGCATCGCTACTAGGAGCAAGGATGCTACAAGGAGCAAAGGGCATCGCTACTAGGAGCAAGGATGCTACTAGGGGCT